ATTTATCTATTTTAACTAGAAAACGTAGAGATTTCATTGTTCGAACTAGGATCCAGTAAATAAGTTAAGCAATCCGCTATAGATCAGCTCTCATTGTAGATAATGTCACCTCGTCATTGTTGCCGCTTAACCTGCCTATGGAGCAGCTCAGTATATGCAGATTTCTTATGCCTTTTCCACTGCTTGTACCTTTACTGGAAAACAATGTGTACTTATAGCGAATATTTGATTCTGTAACGTTTCCATGCCCCTCGGGTTAGCGGACGAGTGAACAAACTAGTCGTCGGCTTGTTGATAAAAAGATAATTCATTGAATTGGAGAGTCTGGAAGGCTGATATTTATCAACGAAATCAAGACACTTCTGCTGCTTCGTGGTTTAAGAGTAGCCCCCAGCCCGCCAGAGCGTATTGCCACCAGAAGAAAGTCAACAACTCAGTGAACTCTCCCGTTGTAATGAAGTTGCTCTGTCGTCGAACATACGTCTACGCTTAGCGCAGGTGTGAGAACGATTGTGAAGTCGTGTTTCACCCACTTCTCCCCCGATCCCGTCTCACCCCCCGGGCTCACCTCCATCTCAAACCACTTCAACACCGCTGCGCGGACACACAAAAATACTACTAGCTACGATAAATACGATTGTGGTAGTGATAATTGTAGAGAGTTTACGCACCGCATACCTTCGTTAAGTTACGACAGTAACATATATATGTTGTTGCTATCCCTGCTGGCGATTTAGTACAATGTCATGAAAATCAGGTCCAATGGTGCTGGATGTAGTAACTAGAATTGTTCCATAGGATATTTATCCATTCAGTTTCTCTGACCCGTCTAAGGAAAGAACTGACACCGCCTGGCCACAGGACTTGTGATAACCGAAGCTAATCAGCATTGGCGACTACGATATATATCTGCGTAACAGACAAATAAGCTGGCGGTAAGTGAGTCATGGACGAGAGCTTTTGTACATTGATTTGAGATCTCGCGTCTGCCCCAATATACCATCACATATATATATTTTGCTTTTCGTTTCTACCTTCGCCTCCACGAACACAGCACCAGTCAAAATACACTGACGGCCATTAGTTACGAAAAAAAGTGCGCCACCAATTGTCTTATTAATAATAAACAGTCTAAAAAATAACGAAAAGCAGTAGAACGTTTCGCCTGACCATATACCTATGATAGAATACTCTGCTACCGTTATATGGCAGTAGCAGTTATATTCGTTTCGAGCGCAAACATACACTGACACACAAAAAATAAATCACTTACTTTTATGCCTCAGCTGCGGATCTTAGTAGTCAACGCTGAATGAATCAAAATAAAAAAGGAAGAAAAAAAACCCAAATAATTACAGCACCAAAGCGATCCGTGTGATGGCTTTGTATTATAGATAAATTCAAATTAATTTTATCTTATTGTCGTGCTATTTTGCTGCTATGCCTCTCATGAATGTTTCCGCCCCTGTATTTGCCTCCACCTCGCGCGGCACCGACACCCACGCAATTTACATTGATGTCTTCCTCTTCGTTATCGCCGTCGTTGTTGCCTGCGTTCCCGATATTATCTCATTATCCTATTTTATCTATTGACAACAGCCACCATTGCTTCGGAAACAATATAGATAATGTTGTTCGCCCGGACGGCAGCCGACGTCAACCTGCCGCCAAAGACTCACTAGAGGGGACGTGGTCGAGCAAGATCAGCCAAGCAAGTGATGACGTTGGCTAGCAGGCGAAAAAAAATAGTTTCTAATAGTAGAACGATGAATTTACTACGTACTAGAGCACTTTTTAATGCTACCAGCAGCCGGCTGCGGTCCAAGCGCTGTGTGCTACCAACGTGACAAGCCACGTCACGGTGTAACATCGACGAAATAGGAGCGGTAGATGGCGTGGCCGGCTACTCTCGACATAGAAGCCAAGAGCTACTTCCTACGTAGGCTACAACGGGAAAGATTGCCATTTCGCTTATTGTTGCTGATAGCTCGCAGCGTGTTAATGCCAGGACGGACAGCTCATTCGCGCAGGGGCGCTGACAAACGGACAAAAGGGCTGTGTTGGAGAAAATCAAACAATAAAAAAAGCAAGAAGACCACCTAATAAAAGTAGTAGTCTTTGATGAAGGCCAGGCCGTCAAATCGGCGGGGATCGGTGGCTTCGACCAGTAGAGCCACAATGACGCGTGCCGCCGTCGCTTTTCGAATCGAATTGATTATTTTATGGAAGTCCAACTACATCGGCAAGACCGGGAAAAGGAAAGGCGGCTACAATGGCGGAAAAATAGGATTCAACCACAAACAAACCAGTACTGGTCCTGTCAACATCAGCAATAATTTTATCAATAACATAGCAACTTGGTGGTCAGTTTTCCCACCGTGTGTCCCATTGTAACGACCTGGTAGCGCTGTAACTTTTCATCAAAAGCGAGTAACTTGTTGTAGCTATCGATTGTGCCTAGAGCGAACGGAGCGGTGTCACACAAGATGTACCCGATTGCTAAACGGATTCCACTGACTCGGCGGCTTTGGACCAGCGTAACCTTCTCCTTGTTCCCTGCATCGTCGTTACGGCTCCGGACGCGCGCACGTCGACATCTCTTCGCTTTGTTCACGGGGGAAGGGGGGTGTAATGCGCCAGGTTCTAAATGACGCCTGGCGTCTGTTGTTCGCTGACGTTGTTATCCAAACAGTTGATGTTGTTACTCCTCGCGCGAAGACGCCGTTTCTTCTACTCCACACCGAACGAACATCATGAACCAATGAAAAACTGGCCGGGGTTACACTGTCCACACAGTAGAATGGATGATCGAAACGAAAACAAGCTCCATAGTGCCATCGAGACAACAGGCGATACTTTGTTCCGAAAGAAAAGTGATGAAGATGAACGAAAACGACAAGAAGCAATAAACCTCTCCGCAATATCACTATAACAGCCGCCGCCGCCGCCGCAGCCGCCACTGTTATTACTACGTAGCACGATACGCGCATTCTGTCGCACTGGCCCCCACCACGGTAGGTATGGCGGATAGCATATCGTATGAAGCTTAAGTCGCTTGATGCCGCTTTACGCCACTGTTGCGAACAGCGGCAATACCGATAGCAACGGCGTCAACCACCGAGATTCAATAGCGCGTACAATATTGTTTGACTTGCGGTTTCGTGTCGGAACGGACTATAAGGCGCCGGCCACGATGGCTAAAAGTTTGCCCGCTTGCCAGGCAAAATCTGCACTATGATGAGCGACACACCAACCGGGCGGCAGTGGTGACTAAAATCAAATGATCATTGGCAAATGGCGAGCATTGTTATAGCTGCTGGCGGCGGTGTCGCTGCTGTTGTTACTATGTTTGTCGTCGTCGTCGTCGTCGTCGTCGTCGTTGACGCCAGTTGAATCGAGGCGTCCACGTAAAGCACAACTGACACGCACACAGGCTGTGAAGTGGATATAGAAAAAGGGGAATACAACCGTGCTATTGGTAGTAATAATAACAGTGACTGTCATTTGTGTAGGAGTAAAATTGAGATAGTAACATTGAAATGCGCAACGCGCCGTCATCATCATAAGGATCATCGTTATGATAACAACCAAGAGTCAGCAAGGGATGGTAAGAGTCGTATCGGTAGCGGTAGTAGAAAGTATGAAGAATGAGGAGATTTTTGTTTTACACGGGGAGAAGGCAACACCGATGTTAAACAGGGCAAATGAAGACACAGAGAGAGAGAGAGAGAGAGAGAGAGAGAGAGAGAGATGAAGATAAACGGGGCGGGGAGGGGCAAGAGCAGATGGATTCCCGATCGGATAAACGGGTAGCAACGCAGAAAACAACTCGGCAATTCGACTACCGTTCACAACGGTCGGAAAAAGTAGATAAAGGGACAACGAATTTTTTTCTTGCAACTACTACAAAGCGTCTTCATATTTGGTGATGGCGAAAGCCTATTTGGCTGTGGTTAAACACTCGCTCGACTGTCTGCCCCTGTCATAGTAATTCAATTGTTATTGTATTCTGTCGTCAAGCCCTTCTTTTCAAGCTGTTTACATCAATGTCAAAGAGTTCCGTGAAACGCATGGCTTTTGAAAATTTCGGAAGACGCGCTTACAAATAGAATCTCAAGCGACAATCTAACCAGCAAGGTAGACCACAGAGGGGTACAACGCGAACAGGAGGCTGAACATAATCAGCACTGTGATGATCTGTCACGTCTGATGACCGCTCTGATAAACGTCGTTTTCTTCACGGAAATCTTCCTAAAGTTATCGTATGCATTCTATATTAGACCAGTAGATAGGGTAGCATACAAAAGCAGATCTGGAGGTAACATTTTCACATAGCTCAGCATTTTGCACCTAGAAGCTGTGTAATCGTGGAGTTTGTCATTGCTTTTCCGTTAAGCTTTATACTATCGAAAGGTCGAAGAAAATATCTGAAGTATTAAGTATGGTTCAGAGTGTACTTTCGTAAACTTTATGATTCATTAAGATTTATAAATAGTTAATATCATTGAAATTGCGTGCGACAACGTAACAGTGTGAACCATTTACTGTTACCTTGTCTTTCCTAATTCTTACCAAGAGATATCCGATATATTGATGTATCGTTCACACAGGTTTCTCGCACTTTTTGCGTTATTTTGTTCTCGTCGTCAGGCTACGCATAGCACCACGCTGAACTTCTTGTATCGTTTCGTAGTCAATCAACACACTTCCTCCTCAGAATATTCCTCTACACACCACTCACAATGACTGATTGACTCACTCACGATGCTTTCACACTCTAATCCATTTGGCGGCTGGGCCTAGTTTCCCCGTTCGTCGTCAAATCTACTCTGAAAAAATCCCGATCGTTCGGGGCCTGGTCTATCCTCTGGCTCCGCCTCCCAGCTTCGGTGCTCGCCAGAGGAGAGGGTACTGCCGGAGCACTACGCAATCCGATTGGTGGTTGAATCACCGGCAACCAGCACAGCCCGCGCGAACAAGCCGGTTCAACAAAGCGGCCGTACAAAGATCGCCCGGTGGCACGCGTCAGACACGCGAACGAGCCAAGACCCAACAACCAACCAAGCGACGAGGCGAATCCGATAAATCGAAGGAGCTGCCGCCTCCACTGCTGCCGCTACTGCACCTAGTAGATCCTGGACTGACAGATCCTAAGCAGATGCCTTGAACGGTGTCGAACAAGACACAATTCACAATCCTCCTGATTTGACGGGACCCGCAGCCGAGCCGTGGCTGAACCCTAGTCGGACGCTGGCTGGGCGGGGGGGGGGGGGGGATCTGTATCTTGGGTCCCGTAGCACAAAAAATACTTACTCTACCCACGAAATCTGGGTGGAATACTACGCTCCTGACAGTTTCATAGGCAGCAAGATAAGATGAAGCGACGAAACCAACAGGAGGTCGAGGGGTTTTCAACGTGTCGAGCTATACCTGGTCTTGATCATGTGGAGCCAAGACTGCACTTGGTACTGCCAAATGTGCCTTGGAACTGGCGCGTGCCTCCAAACACACACAGATATAGACACTAACGCACATGTGCATGAGAAGCGTCTGATGTATTCATATAGTGATGTACATATATTTACATATATACATATATATGGCTGTGGCGATGAATAAGCGCACACGCACTACCAATTGCCGGGCTGATCAGTGGATTCGAAAAGCCCTAAGTCTTGCCCAGCTGGCTGTACCAAGAACTCGACAGATGCTGCTGTTGTTGCTGGTCCACCGAGGGTCGAGTGGCCAAAGACATTTGGTTGGTCAAGCGGCGTTGGCTAATTGGAGCCTCGATCAGAGCCACAGGGTTGCATGCTCCTTCAACCTTGAACGGTAATCAGCGGCTCAGTTTCATACCGCTGTTCGATGGTCATACAGGCTAACGCGCATGGCACAACGGCTTTCGACAATCGTCCATCTATGAGACACTCTTCTATAAAGCAATGTAAGAAAATACGTTACGAAAGATTCCAGTCTGCACGAAATTGATGGCCACTACTATGAAAAGCTGGACATTGTTCGCAAAGCTGAAACGGTATCCTCTTGGCATTGAATATTGCTAACCTATACGCTTACTAATCCTAGACTTAAAACAGGCTTCGTGTTGGAGGCCAAGCATTGTTTCGGACGCTGAACTTTAAGCATTTCCTTACATCTCCAAAGTTGGCCATTATAGGAGTTCAGAAAGCGACAAATATTTGGAACAATGACAGCCCATATGACAACATGTATATTAATAATCACCTAAACTTTCTGATACCCTACGTTGTCCAGAGCCATACCGGATTACTGCTTAACTTTCACGGATGCTTCAAAACCTTATCTAGATCACTTTCACAAAGCAATGCCATAAAAAAATATATATATAGTTTTCACAAGCTGGGCCCCACTATGACCAAGGGTTATTTTGGTCACACTGTACAAATCCACTTTGCACTCAACGACGTCTTCCTTTCGTTTCGAATGCATTTTTTCGTAAGCGAACCATTTAATATATACCAAAGTAACTAAACTAGGTAAAACTGTTTGGTCGCCCTGATGGGTAGTAGCCATTCGGTGCACGGGATGGGAGCTTCCAGATTCAGCTGGTCTGCTTTCAATACGAGCAACAGCCGGCTGTCCGCAGCGATACATTGGCAAGAGTGAAAAAGGTTAGTTACTTCACAGTATCTAGTCTAGGCTTTGCTGTTTATTTCTCTCTATATCTCTCTCTCTCTATAGCGGTCCATTCATTTCAGTCTCCAGATGATCGGTTCTGTCTGGGTGACAAAGCCATAGACCGCTGGAGGGCTGACAGCGACCGTTCGTGTTAGTTGTCACCGGTTAAAGGTAATGTTGGGTATTAAATTTCTTGATAGCAAACAGGTCATTTTATACGGTTCCTGCGAGCAGTACGGAGAGCATAGATAAATCGTTCTCAAAGCGAGTTACGTATGCGGACAAATGTCGATTTTCATATATTTACATCCTTCAAAAAAGCTTAGAAAAATAATATTTCTAGACGGGTATATTTAGAGACGTCACTTTACTACAATAAAATAGGTGTACATTGGGACACAAGCTGACCTGTACTGGTTTGTGTCTGGGCGAGACAGTTTCACTAGGTTTCACATTTTACTCGAAGAGGTGAGCTACTACCTCTACGAGATCGTTGCTTTTGGAATGAGATCAATTATCTCGTGGATGACAGTCGAAGAGCGCGATGCCCCCCTCCCCTTTTCAACTAAAGAATGAGATGGATGTCTAGCGGATTGACGAGGACGGCAGATCGTTTGCGGGGTTGTCACAACTTTTTGTGTGCGTTCGCAGCTTCCCTGCCCTTTGCCGTTCTGATAATTTTCGGCACCCCTCGCACTTACATCGCAGGTTTACCGTCGCTACCTCCCGCCGAGTCCACAGCTTCGGCGGCCTTCGTTTATGGCTGGAGCAATCCGACCGGTCGAATTGCCCTAGGCGCTGTCAACGACTTAACTCAATTTTCCGTTTTCGCGTACGCCTACACTCACTTCGCGTATCAATCGAGCGTTTCTGTAAAGAGATATAAAGCAAGAGATAAAGTGTTTATGTATGACCAGCAAGAATATGGGTGGTTGTTGTTGTTGTTGTTCCGCGTAACAAAAATAAAATGCAGAGAGTGTCCTCGTCGAAGGTCCTCGTCCCTATTAGGGCGTCGGGCAACCGAATTTCAACCTCCGGACGTTTCCCTGTTTGAATGCCTACAGCCTCCGCACATTTACAGCTTATTAGCGCATCCTTTTGTTCGGTGCCCTGCGATGAGCTAAAGTGGTTGAGTCTCTTCTTTCTTCGCTGGATCGTGATGGTTAGAATCGCTTAGTGAAGCTGAAGGGAACGCCAAGGGTGAACACCGCCAACAACATCAGCAAGAAAAACTACAACAGCAAATGGGTCGGCAAGATTTCTCAGCTCATCATATTCTAGCTCGGGATTAACCTCACACTTCCTGGAACAGGATGAAGACTCTTGAGACCCGCAAGGCTTCAACAAGCTCGGCTGTAACAGCAGCAGCGGTAACGCAGCTTTCAGTTAGGCAGCACCTCGAGTCCACCCTCAATACACAACCAGCAAGACTAAAATCGCTTCCTCAGAACTGAGGCTTGGTACCGCTTGTTAACAGACAAAAGCAGAAGATGCAGGATCTGAATATTGGTTACACCTGTACACCACGCCGCCATAGGGCAACCCCTGAAGTTAGTCGAGCGGAGGCGGAGGTGGCTCTCGTCTTTACAGAAGAATCACTTGAACGTTAATTCCCACTGAAGGATCAATGTCTAGTAGGGGGCAAACCGATAGGGCGATCGGCTTAAAAAGCCACTGCTAAGGAAGATACATACGTAGTTCACCTACTCCTCAACCTATCAAAACCTTTGAATTACAATGACCTTTTTTATGTATATTTGTTAATAGGAAACGATTATCTCTTATTAGATAATCAGCGGTCGAAAGCACACGAAGGGGGATAAATGGAAGCACACGAAATGAATAGGTTAATTTCACCGTTCGGAAGGCCTTCATCTAGTCATAGTATAGCACTTAAATTCTGTATAACAAGCCCCAAGATCTGAAAGACCAAGAAGTATCAACCTTTAGCTGTCAGAACACAAAAATGTAGCCAGTAATCGAAGAAATAATGGTCTTTAAAATGACTGTTAATTTCTAGCTCTTTAACAACTTTTACGCAACTACACCTGCTGTGTATTCTTGAATGCTTTCCACCTTGCGCAGGGAAATCTACTCTTTGGAATAATGAGCCATTTTGGCTATGCTCAATAATACCCTTCAGAACCTCGAAAAGTCTCTAGGAACGAAATAAACTGTAAGACACCACCGTGTCCTCTAACGCGTATTCGCGTTGTAGGTCCATCCCTGTTCCCTCGATACCCATAGCTCTCTCTCTCTCTCTCTCTCTCACTCTATCTCTCTCTCTAACTTTATGGTATCTATACATGTAACAAGAAATTGGCTCGAGCAAAGAAACACACAACTGTGGTACTACTGAAAGCCCAGATTCCTAGAAACTCTGCAGCAGGGGCGTCGTGAAGAATCATATAAATGAATATCACAATCCGCACGTTCACAGGCACAGAACACTGCGATCCCCTTTCGTATCGCGTTTCCTGCGGCCGTCAGCGTAGGATTGATTCTTCTGCTGTGCATATCCTTGTTTTTGAGTTCCCGGAACGCGGCACTTTGAAAAGATCGGGCGAAGCCGTAGGGCTGAGTAGTCGGCAAAGAAAAACTCGCGAAGTCTTTCTTTGTCGATTGCCCTCACCACCAGCTCCCTGTATTTCTGCGCCTTTACCTGTGCCTGAAACGTGCCTAAAGTTTCACCGCGGTACAGCCATGGGAAGATGAGATCGTACAAAGGTATGGCGAACTCAAGTACCGCAGGCGTATTTGCAATATGTAGGCAATATTAAACTGTAAATAACCGCTTCATTGGAAATATGAAACAGATAAGAATAGGAAGTTAATTGACCATCGTTCATCCGATGTTGGATAGAATATGCGCTGCTACACGAAAAATGCTTTAAAGACATTGTATGGGAATGTAGATCTATTTGCCTATGGCTCTTTCAATGTCAACCGATTACCGAAATGGGAGAAAACGTCGTCATTGGTGGGCTTCCTATGCCTAATGAATTCGACATAAATACTAACACAAAATTACCTTCTAGGAAATAGCCTTTCAAATAACAGAAGGTTTTAACATGGCCTGCACGCCCACAGCGATGCAATCGAGGAGCGACTTTAATCGAAGCCAATCAAAATTTTCCTCCATCCGTTTCCGTTCCTACATCCGTTCTAATTGGGTATGATACTGTGTATTAGGCCACCACAACCTACGATTCAGTGAAGAGCAAGCTATAGAAATTGGAATTGATGGTAAAAATAGCGAAAATAAAGAACAAAATGTAATATGAATACACTTATACAGAATATCCGATACCTGCCATCATCAGCTATTGTATTTATTTCCCAGTATAATATGTCTCGACTTAAATTCAGGTTTATCCCATATTCAGTTATGTGCGACCTAATGGTACAAACGGTTGATTATACCTTGTATAAGTTCATATAGTTGTGAAGACGAAGCTAGTTGTATTTATTGGGGTAACGATCCTGACCAGACCGGAAATGTGGACGTTCAACAAATAAAACAATTATTTATCTAAATAAACTCTATAATAGCATATAAAC